GCCCGACGCCCACAGCCATTTCGACTATGACCCGCGTGCCGACGAGTTCTTTTTCGACCGCCACCCAGGCGTCTTCGCGCACATTCTGAACTACTACCGCACGGGCAAGCTGCACTGCCCGGCCGACGTGTGCGGGCCGCTCTACGAAGAGGAGCTGGCCTTTTGGGGCATCGACGAGACCGACGTGGAGCCCTGCTGCTGGATGACCTACCGCCAGCACCGGGACGCGGAGGAGGCGCTGGACAGCTTTGGCGGTGCGCCCCTGGACAACAGACGGCCCTGGAGATTCGGGCGACGGAGAGGACGAGCTGGAGATGACCAAGCGCCTGGCGCTCAGCGACTCCCCGGACGGACGGCCCGGCGGCTTCTGGCGCCGCTGGCAGCCACGCATCTGGGCGCTGTTTGAGGACCCCTACTCATCTCGCTACGCCAGGGTAAGCGACACTTACCCATCGGAAGATGGGGCGGGGGTGGGGGTGTGTTCGATAACTGGTACCTAGTGAGTCAAAACTGAAAGGGGGTGCGTGTGGTGTGTGTAAGAAAGGGGATGATTTTTTTTTCGAGGGTGACTAGTTTTGTATGTAGTAAGGTCTGTGTATTTCCGGATTTAATATGTATGAGCGAGTATGAATGGGTGTGTTTGTGTGTGCATATTTATGTAAGTGTGGTGGTGTAGATTTGTGTGGGTAAAGGATGTAGTGAGAAGGCGTGAGCATGTGCGTATGTTTGAGTGTGCAGGAGTGCCTGTGCGTGCAGGTGTGTGTCTGCAGATGTACACGGTGAAGGTCTGACCTCCCCTTTGGGTTTTGGTGTGGGGAGGGAAGCTGGGCACCCTTCCTTCTTCCCAGGTAAGGGCATCTGGGGCCAGCCAGGGCCCATGGACAAGGGTTGGAGGCCTGGGTCTGCTGCTTGAGATGGACTGCCCCTCCCTCCCCAGGGAGCAGCCTCAGGCCATTCTGAGGAGGTGGTCAAGGGGAGATCTTTATGGTTAATCACAGGCTTGGAAGTTGGTGTGGGACTCAGCTGTGGGGAGGTGGATATGACTCTTCTGAAACCTGCTCCTGGGCACAGAGGCTGTCCTTTTTCCTGGTCATAAGGGCAGGGTATTGGAGGGGGCCGCTGGCCTTATGCCTGGACCTGTCAGGGGCAGAGAAGGGGTGTACAGGGGGAGCCTACAAGGAGGAAGTCTGTGAGGGGGTGCGTCTGTCTTCACCAGCCACTCCCCTTTCCTGACCCCAGTTTGTTTCAGGGGAGAAAGGGCGCCTGACCTTGGCCCCGCAGGTGGCCCCTCAGGATCAGTTTCCTCATCTGTAAAATAGGAGAGGGGGCAGCTGGTGACTTCTAAGGGGTTTTGCTACTGAACTAAGCCCAAAAGGGAGACACTGGTAGCAGCCACATCCCTTGAAAGAGATGACCCCTGCCTGCACTGGACTCTGTCCTCAAGAGGCCTGAATGGAGCCTAAGGCATGAAGGAGAGGGTCAGAGGTAGTCATTTAAAGCAGAGCCCCTCCCCCATCCCCAGCCACCTCCAACCCCCTACGTGGCAAACCGATGAGTTTGCCCACTCTTTCTTTACTGCTCCACAGGCCTTCCCTTCCGCCCATTAGAACTGAGGGGGGGTGGGGAAGATGGGGCAGAGGAGGGGGCAGGAGTGTCTGCGGAGCTGCTGGGGATCATCAGTGTGGGAAGGGGTTTGGGGACACTGAGGTGTCCACAGCAGAAAAAAGCTGTGTGTAGGCACAGGCCTGGTAGATTTGTTACTGAGATAAACACTCAGTGTCTCAGCATCCTTTATGGAGGGGTTAGGAGGTCAGAATGTTATACATTAAATCCTAGAATAGTTGTGTGTGTGGTGGGGGCAGGGGCGGATAATAGGGAGAAGGCCAAACTCCTCATGTTGCCCCGAAGGACCCTGTCCAAGGTCACCCAGGGAGCTAGAAGCTAAGCAGGACTAGAAGGAGGTCTCCTGGGACCTCATCCTCCTCAGAGGTGCCATCCTCCTGGCCACCTTGGGCTCATCTTTAGGGCTCTGACCTATGTCCCTGAGTTTCAGAATCGGCAGGGGTCATGTGGGGCAGGTCCAGCCCCCTCCCCTGTCCATCTTCTCCCACTGAACATTCGTAGGCTGTGGGGTGGACTTCATCCAAGGCAGATAAATGGGCTGGCAAGTGGTTTGGAGGCTTGTTGATGTACAAAACCTTATTTAAAAGTCCTGATTCTATCAAGTGTCCATTGAAGAGCAGACTTGGAGGGAAAGCTGGGTAGTAAAGGGGAATAGAGATAAATTGGAAGGTGCCCTCCCACCCAGCCGATCAATGCTACTGCCTTCTCTCCCCAGTAGCCTCATAGAGTCGTTCCAACTTCCTTAGGTGACCGAGAGAACACTGGGGCCCAGAGGGGGAGGGACCTGCCCAAGGGCACACGGAACCGAGGGCAGAGCCTGGATTAGAACCCAGGCCTCCTGCCGCCCTCCCTCCAGCAGGCCTCGCTGCATTGCGCTGCCTCTCTGCGGCTCATCTGCGCAGAGACCAGCGGGCTGCCCTCCCTCCCTCCCTCTCCATCTTTTCTCTGCTGCTGCTGCTGCTGCCACCACCGCCGTCACCTTTGTTTACCCCTCCCTCACAGGGGCCCCAAGCCTCCTCAAAGTGGTGGGATGTACATTTTTTTTAATGTAGATTTTAGGCCAAAATCCTGTATGTGTGTGACATTGTATATGTGTGTAAAAGAAACGCTGCAGGTGTGAGAGGATCTGTGCAAGAGAGATTCTTTGTGGCTGTGAGAGACTCTTCATGTGTGTGAGAGACTGTATGTGAATAAAAATATGTGTGAGGCTCAGGGTGTGACGGTGGTGTGTGTGATGAGACTGACTGTGACATCCTGTGTCTCTACCAGAGAAATTCCGTGTGAGAGTGAGAGACAGATTGTGTGTGTTTTGAGAGATGGACTTAGTGTGTGAGAATGAGACTGCGTGGGGGAGAGTATGTATATGAGGAAAAGAGACTATATGTGTAAGAGAGATATTGTGTGTGTGTGTGAGAGAGAGACAGACAGAGAGAGAGAGAGAGAGAGAGAGAGAGAGAGAGAGAGGGGGATTCTTGGGAGAGCTGTGAGACTTGAGGTGAGTGTGAGTGCAGTGATGTGTGAAGCTGTGTGTGTAAGGCTGTGTGGGGTGGGGAATCTATGTGTGATACAGACTGTGTGTGAGAAACTGTGTCCGTGTTGGTGTGTGTGCTTGTATGTGATGTGAGAGAGACCTTGTGGTGCCTGGGTGTGAGTGTTCCTGGAGGAAGATGAAAGAGCAGGCCAGCTTCCTGCCTGCTGCCTCGATCTCCTGGGACCTCTGAGCCGCCTTAGTGAGCGGTTTTGCTCCTCATTTCCCATCAGTAGAAAGACTCTGTAGCCCCGGCCAGTTGTTGCATGGGCCAGGTGGTGAGGCACCTCACCTAGGCCTTGGCATTGTCTCTGGAAGATAGGGGCTCCTTGGCTGGGGTGGGAGGTCCCATCTCTTTCGTGGTGACAGAGCAGCTGGTTCCCTGGCCTTCTCTCCTGTGGTTTTCTGGGTACCCAGGCTGAGGGGTGAGGGCTGGGGAGGTGAGCTGGGGCACGGTGAGCCCAGCTTGTATTCTGGGGCAAGGGGTGAAGGAAAGGATGATGATGCCACTATGTGGCGAGGGCTGTGCGGGAGCTTCCTGGGACTGTGAGGGTAAGAACTGTCCCAGAGGAGGTGATGCAGGGGGAAGCTTGGAGGGACAAGTAGGAATTGGCCAGGCAGATGGCAGGAAACAGCAGTCCCAGCATGCAAAGCCGTGGGAGGTGTGGGAGCAGGCAGGACTGTGTTGGGGCCGGCCTTCCCTCCTCTCCTCCTTGGGGGCAGGTGCAGGTCTGAGGCCTTTGGCTTTAATCTGTGATTTGCATGTTGTCATCAGGAACATTGTTCTGTGTCAGGTCAGGGCCAGTGGTGGACCCTGTGCTGGAGAGTATTCCGTGTGTGTGTCTCTCTGTGTGTGTTGACATCTGTCCCCTAGAGTCACTTGACCTTCCAAAATGATGAGCAAATGCCAATGGAAACCCCTCCTCCATCCGCCTCACTGCCCACCTCTCCTCCAACTCTAGTTCTTTGTCACTCTGTCTTGTCCCCACCTCCATGGGACCTGCTGTGGTCCAGTGCCCCCTCAACGCCCTGGGAAGGAAATTCACCTAGTGGCTGGGATGAAGAGCCCAGCCAGAGATTTCTGTTTCTCCCCTGGGTCCCAGCTGACACAGGACTCTGGGAGCCTTAGCTTGTCAGGCAGAGGGCCTGGGGACAGAGCTGTGATCAGGGCCTTTCCAGGTAGCTTGCCCCTCAACCCAGAGCCCATCTCCCCAGATCAGGAAACCCATGAGCAGTGGTGAGGGAGCCACCCCAAGTGCTTCCTGCCACAGTGTATCCCCCATTAGGTGTTCTCTTTCCCAGGATGCTTTTACAGGTGTCCTCGTGTCTTTGAATGGTACCTTCAACCCCCTAACCCCAGCTCCCACCCTAGTAAAGAAAGGCACGAACCCAGCATCTCCTAGTCAGAGTCTCAGCCTCTTCACCCCTAAAATAGGCATAGCGATAGAACCTACATCCAGAGGGCTGTAGAAAGATTAACTGAGGTAATATGTGGGGAGCCCCGAGTCACAGGGCCTGGCATGCAGTCAGTGCTCAGTAAATGTTGGCTGCTGGTATCACTCCTATTAGTTGTATTATCATTTTACTTCATGATTTTCTAGACTCCACCCTTTGCCCTCTGTCTCCATGTCCACCCTCCTGCTTCAGGACACCACTGTTTCCCTCAGGCAACCTTTCCAACAGCTTCCTGACTGCTCTCCCACCTCCAGTCCCTGCACCTACAGTGCCTTCTCCACTTGGCAACCACACAGGTCTCTTCAACTCACAAATCTGACAGCTCACCTCCTTACCTGCTTAACACCCTTTATTGCTCCCCCAGCCCATAGCTGCCTGCTCTTCAGTCTCCTCTGGCCTGGCTGTCCTCACCACTCCCCGAGCTCCAGCCACCCCGGCCTCATAACCCCGGCCTCATTTCAGTTTCTTGCATGTGCCAGGTCTGCCTGCCTCG